AAGAGGGAGAGAAAAGAAATACTTCTGTATTGATAATGTGTTGATAAAACATGTTGAGCATACAACTTAAATAAGAAAAGATAGGAGAGACAAACTCCTAGGATCTCTCTCAATTACTCCTAGAATCTATCTCAATTAGGGGACTTTCCTAATTTTATTCAAATCTAATCTTTCCTAAATTTATTCAAATTTGTAATCAATCAAATCAAATCTTTCTAAATTTGCAGCAAATCATATCTTTCTTAATTTTCCACAAATCATATCTTGTTGACAAGATTCTCTCTATTCCTTTGAGGGTCTTTGGTTGCTCTTGTTATATCCACATTCCTAGTTCCAAAATACACAAGTTTGACCCCAAGTCTTAGAAGTGTATCATCCTTGGTTATGCCTCCACATAGGAAGGGTACTATTGTTTTGATCCCATTAGTGCCACCCGGCTTGTTTCCATTGATGTCACCTTTGCAGAGTTGGTTCCTTTTTGTAGCCATCATTCTGAAGGGGAAAGATCTCTTGAGTTGTTTTCTTCATCCCTTCCTTTACTAACTCTAGTTGAGTATTGTGTCAAGCCCTCCACAGTTACCCCCATTTCTGTAGAGGGATCGTCTCCTTTGAGGTCTTCCACTCCTGCTCCTCCCCCGCCTCCTGCTAGTCCTCTAGTTTTTTCCACTCATCCTATTCTCTAGAGGTGGTACTAGTGGCAAAGGCTAAGGAAAACACAGGTTGATCCCATAGCTCCAATTGAGTCTCAGGCTCTCCCAATTAGTGAAGAGAGGACATGTCCATTTCCTCCTCCACTAGCACCCTCGTTTCTAGACCATGACCTATCCATTGCTTTGAGAAAAGGTAAGAGGAAATGTACAAATCATTGTATTTCCAAACACCTTTCCTATAGCTTGTCCCCTTCCTACTATGCCTTTTTAGCCTCCATTTCCTTTCAATCCATCCCAAAGTCTATTTCAGAAGCCTTAGCCACACCAGATTGGAGGGATGCTATGAGTACTGAAATAGAAGCCCTTCATAAATACAATACCTGGGATATTGTTGACTATATAGCTGGGAAGAAACCTGTTGAATGCAAGTGGGTTTTCACTATCAAATATCATGCAGATTGGTCAATTGAGAGGTATAAGACTCGACTTGTTGCCAAGGGATATTCCTAGGTATATGAGATAGATTACACTGAGACCTTTTCTCTAGTTGCTAAGATAACTTCGGTGAGAGTTCTTTTATCCTTAGAAGTGAGCTATGATTGGCCTCTATATCAGTTTGATGTTAAGAATGCATTCCTGAATGGTGATCTCACTGAAGTGGTATATATGTCCCTTCCTCCTGGTATATATGGCAACGAAATATAGGGTAAGGTATGTAGATTGAAGAAATCACTTTATGGCTTGAAACAATCTCAACGTGCTTGGTTTGACAGGTTTAGGTCTGCTCTTGTTCAGTTCGGATACACTCAAACTCAATCAGATTATGCCCTCTTTGTGAATGGTGATCTCACTAAAGAAGTATATATGTCCCTTTCTCCTAGTATAAATGGCAAGGAAATGCAAGGTAAGGTGTATAGATTGAAAAAATCACTTTATGGCTTGAAACAATCTCCACGTGCTTGGTTTGATAGGTTTAGGGCTGCTCTTGTTCAGTTCGGCTACACTCAGACTCAATCAAATCATACCCTCTTTGTTAAAAGAAAAGGCACTCTGGTCACATTTCTTATAGTTTATATAGATGATGTTATGGTTACTGGCAGTGACACTGAAGAAGTTAGTGCTCTCAAGAAGTTTCTCAATTCTGAATTTGAAATTAAAGATTTAGGGGAGTTGCGGTATTTTCTAGGCATTAAGATTTCTAGGTCCAAGGAAGGTATCTATATTTCTCAACGGAAGTATGTGCTAGACCTTCTTACTGAGACTGGAAAACTTGGTGCTAAACCTGCCTCTACTCCTATTGATGTGAATCACAAACTCTCAGCTAATGATGGAGAAATTTTAGCCGACAGGGGAGCGTTTTAGAGATTACTAGGGAAACTTCTTTATCTATGTATGACTCGTCTAGACATTTCATATGTTGTGGGTGTCATAAGCCAATTCATGCATGCTCCCAGAGACACACATATGGTTGCTGCAAAAAGGAGGGTGTTATGTTACCTTAAGGGAACCTTCGGGAAGGGTATATTATTTTCTAAACATGGACACATGAAGGTAGAAGCATATACAGATGCTGATTGGGCAGGAAATGTGGAAGACAGGAGATCCAAATCAGGATATTGTGTTATGGTAGCCGAAAATATTGTTTCCTAGAGAAGCAAAAAGCAATTAGTGGTTGCTAGATCTTTAGCTAAGGTAAAGTATAGAGCTATGGCCCATGGTGTTTTTGAGTTGTTATGGCTTAGATCTCTCCTTAATGAGATAGGTGTTTCATGTGATGAGCCACTGATGTTGTATTGTGATAACCAAGCTGCTATTAACATTGCTCACAACCCAGTTCAGCATGATAGAACTAAGCACATTGAGGTAAACAGACACTTTATACGGGAGAGAGTGGCTTCAAGAGAGGTGTGCCTACCTGTCATTGCATCAGAAGAGCAGCTAGCAGAATTTCTAACTAAGAGAGTCCCAAAGGCAATGCTTCTACATTATGTAAGCAAGCTGGGCATGATTGACATCTATGCTCAGCTTGAGGGGGAGTGTAGTGAGAATGGGCTGAATGGACCTTAGTGTTTTTATTTCTTTTAAGTAGTACTTAAAAGTTATGTTTCTTAGTTATGGGCATTCTTTTATTTTCTTTAATTATTTCTTTAGTGATGGCCGCCCCATTAAGGGCATCCAAGTAATTGTACTTAGAGTCTCAGACTTAGAATTGTTAATAAAAGTGATGAAAGGGGGCTAGAGAGAGAGGTTCGAATTCTTCTTTTCTCTCTTCCCTTCTTTTCTTCTTCCACAACCTATTGCTTAAACTTCTTTCTTCTTCTTTCTCTCTTTTCTTCTTTTCTTGCATTATCTGAATTACTGTAGGTGTAATTTTCAAAGGGTGGGGATATATCTATTCTAGTGGCTATGTTTAATTTGAATTAATAAGAATTGTTAAAATTCAAAACATTTTCCTGAGTTATATACTCGTTTATGCATGTAGAAATCATCAAAAGAGAAAAAGTTAAAAACCTTTATTTGAAATATTAAAGTTTTAATATATTGCCAATTCCTTTGTTGTGGAAGTAGGAAAATTAGTGACATTTAATTAGTAATTTCTCTTTGCAGCTCCATGATTGGCTTGATTTATCTCTTAACCACTCAGTGCCATCTTCTTTGCTGATCCTTTCTAGGTAAAGATACCTTCTTAGTTCATTTCTTCAACATTTTGGTCAATGTAACTTTTATCATTGTGGTCCATAAAATCTGCAGAGCCTTCACTGTTGCTGGAAAGATAAGGCCAGAGGAGGCTGTTCAAGCTACATTATCCTCTCTTCCAGATGAGGTTGTGGATACTGTTGGTGTAACAGCTTTGCCATCTGAAGATTCTGTTTCTGAACGGAGGAGGAAATTGGAGTTCCTAGAAATGCAAGAAGAACTTATTAAGGTTGATAGAATTTCTGCCTTGTATCATGTTAGGAGTTTTGTCTTGAATATCTGGTGCTTCTGTTTTTGGTTTCTTTGATGTGTAATGTCTTATCAATATATCATTTTTTTCTTATAAAATTATCAACAAGAGGGTATATTTGCAAAAGATTTTATACTATGTCTTTTCTTCAAGTCCTTCATTGTGCAGGCATCTTAGAAGACCGTGACAAATTTACTGTCTGTTGCATACTTGCATCCCATGCCTTGTGCTCTTTCATGTGGGTTACTAGTAACTGATAATAATGCCTGTCTTTTGATTGACATAGAACTTGAGCTGAATGTAGTACACTAAACATTTGAGAAGTATTTTAATATGACTAATCTGCTAGTTGTTAGATAACAACCAAGTTTTGTCTCTTCCACATGATCTATGCTTTTGAATGGATGGCCCAATTTTAGAGATACACTCGTATGAGTTTCTAGTTTCATAGTTTTCTAATGTGATGTTTGATTAGTGAGAATTGGCATTCTAAATGGTGGTTCTGAATAAATAAATTATAGGAGGAAGAAGTGAAAGAAGAACAAGAGCAAGCCAGGATGAAGGAATCTGCACTTAGTCATGAAGATGTGGCTTTGAAGGAGATGACTTTATCAACAGCAAGAGAAGCACAACAGCAGGCAATAGCACAAACATTGGAGAAGCAAGAACAGCTCTGTGAGCTTAGCCGTGCATTGGCTGTTCTAGCTTCTGTATCTGTAAGGACTTGACTCTAAGAGCACTTATTTCTTTTGAAGATTCTGTAATATATTTTGGCCTGATGTTCTTCCATCTGTCGTAAATCTTACATGTTTCTTTTTGTTTCTAAACTGTGCAGTCAGTAAGCAGGGAGCGAGAAGAGTTTTTGAGTTTGGTCAATAAGGAGGTATGCTAAAGTGCACGTTTCTTATATTTGTTTTCTTTTTTGTGCATGTGAAATTTTAGTCTAGATCCTGGTAACTCAAGAAAATCATGGTCATTGGAGGTTACTGCATAGGGCTCACCTTAAAAGTTGATAATTATCCATATTTATTCTTTTTCATTTTCTCCTCCTTTGTTCACAATTAGGGCATTTTTCTCATTGGAGGCAAATCTAATAGGTGTCTGGTGGACTGCAAAATATGCATTACCAATATGGAACCCTCTGAGTTCTACATTTCTTTCTTACTCTGTTACTTATTTTTCTTTTTCCTTTTTTCTTCTTTTTTTGTGGTGGTCAGCCTAGTGTTGCTGTCATAGAATAGTAAAAATTCACTATTAGATGGTTATTAAATAATCATGTCTCTGTTTTCTTTAGGAGATGTTCTAAGGGGAATTCATCTGATTAGTCTTCAATGACTGTATTACATGTATAAAACAGTTTCTATGAGCAGAATACTTCTTTGCTATTTGTTGTAGTTTGTTATTATTATTATTATTATTTTATTTTTATTATTACTTTATGTTCTTGTATACAAGGCTAACAAACACAATGACTACCATTAAGGTTCTGACAACCTGAGCCACTTCTTCTCAGTAACAATTCAATTTTTGTGCCATACATGTGAGTGGTACATGCAAAATCAAAATTTTAGACAGATCTAATGCTTTTCCTATTTTAGTTATATCTGTGTTTCTCTTCTGAAAATTAAAATGTGAAGTACCTAATTTATATTTTGTAACAAGTTGTATTTTGTTGAAATCTAATGCTATAATGTCTTTCCTCGCAGATAGAATTGTACAATAGCATGGTGGAGAAAGAGGGAACAGATGGTGAAGAAGAAGCTAAAAGGGCATATAGAGCTGCCAGGGAGGAGAGTGACCATGCTGCTGAAAGGGCATTAGGTGACAAAGTTTCTTCAGCTCTTATAGAAAGGGTAAGAGATTCTCAAAAAATTTGAAACCCATTGTACAATATCGAGTTTCTATTCTTCATATATGCATATTTTGTTGTTTAGCTTATTGATTGTGGTACTCTCCTTGTGTACCTTAGCCATGCTCTTGGATTTCAGGTTGATGCAATGCTTCAAAAGCTTGAAAAGGAAATTGATGATGTGGATGCCAAAATTGGTGACCGTTGGCGACTACTTGACAGGTTAGTGCTTTTGGGGCGTACTTTTATATTTGTCTTGCATATATCATTGCTTTACTCATGGCCATTGCTTCTGTTATAGACCAAACTGTTAAATTTACTAATGATATTCTTGATATTCTGCTTTAAAATTCATGGATTTTTAATTTTGAGTATTGGTAAGGCAAGTAATCTCTCATTCAATGAGCAACTAGTACTTGCTTTTATCTAGGTTCCCAGTGATTGATTAGATCCTCCAATAACCACAACTAGGTAGAAATGATTTCTTGTATACGCATAAAATGATCCAGATACAGATAGATATAGATATTATCTATGTGCGTAGCATGAATCAAGAGTTCTACTACCAAAATGATGCAGTAAGATAAGAGGCTTAGGTGAGTAGCGAAGAATGGTTGGATGTGGGGAAGCATTTAGAAAAGAGAGGGATAGTAGCACCAGTAACACAGCTTTAAACAAGAATCTTCAATATCTTAACTTGAAACAATTCAAGATTGGACTGGTATTAATCATTCAGTGAATATCATGTCAACAGACCCAGAGCAGAATACAAAATTCTGGGATGAAGAATGGATGCTTCGACCCTACCCTAAGGGTCCTTTATATAGAAAGTGAAAGTTACCGAAATTACAAAGAGGCCCTTCTAGGGCAACACAATTTAGAGAATTTACAAGGAGGCCCTTGCAGGGCTGAAGTGAAAATAACAATAAATAAGAAAACAATTCAATAAGGACTACAATAAAATGGTACATCAGGGAGTTTCTTCACACTCCCCCTCAAACTGATGCAGAGGCATGAGCATCAGCTTGCTTACAAGAAATAAGTGTTTGGATCTCTTCATGGTCTTTGTGAAGATGTCAGCAACTTGCATATCAGAGGCAACATGAGGGAGAGAGATTGAGTTTGCAAGAAACAGATCACGGATAAAGTGGCAGTCCACCTCAATATGCTTTGTCCTTTCATGAAAGACAAGATTAGAAGCAATTTTAAAAGCACTAGTGTTATCCGCATATAGAGGAATGGGCATAGGAGAGGAATGTTCCAACTCCTGAAATAAAGATTGAAGCCAAACAACTTCACTACAAACAGATGACATTGCCCTGTATTCTTCTTCCGTAGAGGACTTGAAAACAGTCTGTTGTTTCTTGCACTTCCATGATATTAGAGAGTCACCCATGAAGACACACCATCCGGTAGTGGAGCGTCGTGTGTCGGGGCATCCAACCCAATCTGCATCAGCATAGGCTTTCAGTTGGAGAGACAAACTGACTAACAACCCGAACTGCATGTGATTCGATGAACCACAGTCAAATGAGGTTGACGAGGTGCAGAGACAAACTGACTAACAACCCGAACTGCATGTGAGACGTTAGGACGAGTCATGGTCAAATAGATGAGAGATCCTACAAGTTTCCAATAGAGGGAAGCATTAGGAAGCAGGGAGCCTTCTGATTTGGATAATTTGACATTCAACTCCAAGGGAGTATCAACCTGTTTATTATCACTAAGTTTGGCCAACTTAACAAGACTAGAGGCAAACTTATGTTGGTAGACAAAATAACCTCGGGAGCTCTGTTGCGCTTCAAGTCCCAAGAAATAGTTAAGAGGGCCGAGATCCTTCATGTGGAAGGAACTATGGAGAAGAGACTTGAGGTCTTGGATTCCTTCTATATCATTTCCAGTCAATAGTATGTCTTCCACATACAATAAGAGAATGGTAAGGCCTTGGGGTCTTTTTTGAACAAAGAGAGAGTAGTCCGATGCACTTTGGCTATATCTGGCTTGCACGACAACATCTCTGAATTTTTCAAACCAAGCTCGAAGGGCTTGTTTAAGCCCATATAGGGATTTCTTTAGTCGACAAACAAGGGAGGGATCACTGCAGTACCCTGGAGGAGGTTTCATATATATTGTTTCCTTTAGATGCCCATGTAAAAAGGCATTTTTCACATCCAGTTGAAAGATTGTCCAAGAGTGAGTAGTAGAGAGCTAAAAGAACACAAACTGTAGTAATCTTGGCTATTGGAGCAAAAGTCTCTTCATAGTCAATTCCATACTCCTGTTTATATCCTTGTGCCACAAGCCTAGCTTTGTAACGGTCCAAAGACCCATCAGATTTCAGCTTGATGGAATAGACCCATTTTCTCCCAATAATAAAGCCATCTGAAGGTGCTGGGACAAGGTCCCAGGTGTCATTCTCATGCAAAGCTTGAATCTCTGCATCCATGGCTTCTTGCCACTGAGGGCTGCTACTAGCCTGCTGGTAAGAGCGGGGAATATCTGTAGAGGTCAAAATAGTAGAGAAGGAGCTATGGTTTGAAGGAAACCCATAGCGGTAAGGTGGTTTGGAGATACGAGCAGAACGACATAAAGGAATAGGAGGAATAATTGAGGAATCTAAAGTTGGAGCATCACTTACAGGGTTGTCTATGATGGGCGAGGAATCTGGACCAGGAGGAAGAGGGGTCGTAGGCATAAGAGCTGGACCACGAACCCGCTTGCGAGAGAAGACGAGAGTTTCCTTCTTAGCAGTGGATGATGGAGAACTTGTTGTTCAAAATCATTCAAAACTGAAACAAAGGGTACAAATAACTTGGCAATTCCTAAAAAAAAGGAGACATGCTCAAGAAAAATCACATTTCGAGAGATACGAATTCGACGTGATGAGGGATCGTAACAAATGAATCCCTTGTGGTTCGGGCTATACCCTACAAAAGCACACATGACAGACTGAGCTGAAAGCTTTGAACGCTCACGAGGAGGAAGATGAACAAAGCATAGACACCCAAAGATATGAAGACGAGAAAGATCTTGGGGGGATCCAAACATCTTTTGATGAGGAGAAATGTTAGCAAGCACAGGTGATGAGATACAATTGATCAGATATACTGCAATGCTAGTTGTCTCAACCCAGAATGTGGGAGGCGCATGTGATTCTTGTAGGAGAGTCGTTAAAACATTGAGAATGTGACCATTCTTTCTCTCCACCACACCATTTTGCTGAGTGTTTGGGCAGCATCGTTGGACTTGTATGCCATGATGTTTCAGGTAAGCCAAAAAATCTCCATCACTGTATTCTCCCCCTGAGTCTGAGCGTAAGATTTGCACATTCACTTGGAAATGAACTCGAACCATGTTATGAAACTACCTAAAGGTTGGAAACACTTCTGATTTGTGTTTGAGAAAGTAGATCCAAGTGTACTTGGTACAATCATCAATAAATAGCACAAAATACTTGTTTCCCATCCGAAAGACAACAGAAGAAGTCCCAAC